CCATCGATCTTGGTCATGGAGTTTGACACTCTACCATAGAGCCACGGGCCCGTTGTCCCGTCTGCTACTAGCCGCTGTGCGACTGACTGCTAGGGTTCTAGTGTGAGCCCCAAGGCAAAACGGAAAGAACACGTTCCGTAACCTGATCGTTTTGCGCCCATCTGTCATAATTGATATTCCTGATCACAATCGACAGTTCAATGGGCACATGGCTTAATGTTGGAGTGTCCGACTCCATGACCAAAGATCCCGTGTTCGACGGCTAACAAGCCAGAAATGGCCATACCGGTCTCCCTTGTCTTTGTCAGTAGCATCTCATTTATATATATATATATATATATATATGTATTGTCAAGGTGATAATTTCAGAAATTGTTCAGTGCAGGACATGGAGTAAAGTGTTGAGACATTAATTTTTAGGGTCGGCCTGAAATGTCGAAGAACATTTGGATCGAAGACCATCAAATACCGTGAAATAACTAGGTCGTGTCCACTGTACAATCACTAATTACCGCCAGTAGCATAATTTTACATGACAGACGATGGTGCCATACTCCCGACATAGAACGGACGGTCGTCTTCCCAGAATTCGAGAAATGCAAGCCTCCAAGCAGGCATCAACAATCCCTAGTTTTGAACTCCTCTTTACGGATGACTGCGTATTTAATGTCATGGCTGAGACAGTCATGCAAATACGTCCAGTATAAATCTGAATGCACCCGGCCCTTATCGATAGGCATGTTCGCCTACGTAGGCAGCACAATCTCACGAAATGTCTCTATCGACGAGGAAGTATCCCATTCGGGCATTTGGACGACTACAGGTTCCATACTGGAATCGCCGAGGACATCACGTGAACATCAAACTCAAGATTTACAGGGCAGTAGGCCTGACGACACTATTCTAAAAAGAGGACATGGACCGCCTATGCCAACTAAGTCAGTAACATGAGTCAATTACACTTCGGCTGTCTCCATAGAATGCTGAAATTGAGGTGAGAGGACAGGATACTGGACACAGGCGTCCTGGGATGGACCTGAATCCGCTGCATTCACGCCGTGCTGAGCCAAGTAAAACAGGGCCGGTGGGACCCCATTGCGAAAATAGATGACGAGAGCTTAGGCAATTGACTCTTCTACGACGACGTCGCTATGAATGCTCGCCGACAAGAAACAAAAACAATACTCCATGAACACCCTATGGACATGCATCGAGGTTTTACAAATCGATTAATCCACCTGGAGTGAGCGCGCTCAAGGTCGACCGACGTGGAGAAGAGTAATTGACACTGGAACAGCAATTTACAAATCCAACTGGAGCACCGCTCCAAGGATAAAAGAGCAGTTCCAAGTCGCAAGCGTCGTGGAGTCTCAGATCTAACGTTCCACCACTTCCAGCGTTCCTAAATGTTAACGGGCATGTCGCGCATAGGACACCCTTATCAAACATCTTCGGACACAATGAAACAACAATACTTCAACTCCACTTTCTGCCTCCGGAAATGCTTTCATCGTCACCTCCTACCGCAACCCGCAAGACCGATGCGACTACTGACGTTGAGCAAACCTCGACACACGCCGTTACCGTCGCTTTCCACACAGACGCCCACTACCATCTTCATCCTCATTGGCTCCCTCCCCGCCACGACGACGACGACGACCCTACCACTACTTCCACTCCCACAACCAGCGGGACTACTCTGGACGCCTCAACAACCACCACCACATCTATGGAATGGCGGACTTGCCCCCAAATCCTACTTATTGTAATCGCACCTTCAAATTACGCATAGACCTCGCCAGTCAATTAGGAATACATCGGACTGAAACCTGCAAATCCGTGCACGAAACCCCGTACGTACTTTCGCCACAGCTACCCCCACTGCCCACACACGTCCAGTCACCGCATGGGCCGGTTCGGCCACAGACGCATTCAAGACAGTGGCGTTCATCGAAATGTCGGCACCGCAACCACTTCTTTCCCGTCGGACAAATCACTCATCTCCAGCCTTTCAAAGGTTTCTTTAACAGCGTCGTTGCCGCAAGCGGCGTCAACACCGCCACTAGCACGACAGTCACCAACATACCTTGCTCGTCTTACCATCGCACATGAATATCACGATCTGGCATGATCGCTCACTTACTAGTCCCACGCACTGAGACTGGCAAACCAGCGTCAGAAACACCAACATACACCCGTCGCACGCGAATCAACCGACCAGCACTTCCCTCGTACATTCAGCCGCCACACTGGCATACTCGGTCATAAGCACATCTATGGAAACCTGCGATGGAACACCACTGACTAAACCAAATCACCTAAACTTTTCCCACCAGCATCTACACTACACACAAACCCGTCTCACACCACTCCTCAGAGGCTCAGAATAGGCTTCTCTCACGCGCGTAGGAAGGGTGTTCTTTGGTTCCTTTCCCATGTGGCCTCGATGACATTCCCATGCATACGAAGCCGGGGACTCTCACCTCAATTGTGTCAAATTCTGTGGTGCCATGCGAAGGACAATATCATGAATGAGACGCGTAAACAGCCGTTTAGCCATGTCAGCCATCCGCGCCCAATCCCGGCGTCAGATTACAGATCGGCTCGGACAATGGATTTGTACATGGCACAGAGAGGAAATAATAATAAAGTGCCCTCTCTGAATAATCCATCTCGAGCGCACTTAGACGCATCCCTCATTATATAATCTGACACACTTGAATCTGTAAAAAGCAATAAATATTTTGGATTGGAAGGCTACTTGTAAACTATGTAAATCGGTTCTCTAGAACGGAGATTCATGCTGCAATGACCCCTTACTGATGTAACCTAAATCGCACTCCCACTCTGAAGGGATCCGAGCCGTTTCTTCTTCTTTCTGCGACACTCTGGTGAACCCGGCGAGGACCAGACACCATGGGGGAAGGGGAGGGAATGCGGCAGATACTACGCAAGTCTGCCGTTGGTGTAATTAATTCACGCGTATGTTCCCATGCCTGCGCTGCACTGTCATTAAGCACGCAATAGACATCGGAGTTTGCATGGTCGCACTGTCGTATATCAACCCACAGTAGGTGGGCTAACTCATTAGATGTCGACCGAAATTTCGAAATGCGTTCTCGTTTCGAAAAGATTAATTAAATAGGGGTGTAGAACTAGTCATCATGCAGCATAATTCTACAATGTCTGCTTTCGAATTAACTTATTTCCGACTGCATGCAAGAACTGCACTCTGCAAAAAATGACTACTTAAGAAGCATGCCATTTTCTCATTGATTTTCGGTGCCATTGAATATTCAATTATATTTTATGGAAAACATAGATAAATATATTCCTTCTTTTAGTTATTTGGTAAAAGACCACGTCAGTCAATTTGAGCAAGATTGTTAACTTAACAAGCCACATTCGTAAATGCAGATACATGACGTTTCGTGAACGGCCATTTCACGGTATTAAAAATCTCACAATTAGAAACTTTTTTGAAACCGAATTATAAAACTCCTTTGAGTATAGACTTGGAAGAAGACGTGATTTTCTACCGAATAAGTAAAGTAATGAATATTTTTATGCATGTTTTACATGAAATATAATTGAATTTTCAAGGGCATCGAAAATTAATGAGAAAATTGCACGCTTCTTAAGTAGTCATTTTTGTAGGATATAGTTCTTGCATGCAGTCAGAAATAAGTTTCTTCGAAAGCCGACACCCTGAGGTAACTGGATCATTATAGCTTTATGCTGCATCAGATTAGTTTTGCAACCCTACTTAACTAATCTTTTCGGAAAGAGAACGCATTTCGTAATTTCTGTCGACATTTGATGAGACAGCCCACCTACTGTACTATTGTTGGGCTACAGCTAACTGGTTGTGAGTTCCTGGTAAAACCGTTCTTGTGTCTCGTTGACTCTATCTGGATGGCTTATTTTGTGAGCTATGCCTACTGTGCATAATTAGCTCACGTTAGCTATCTTATGTAAGTAGTACAAGTATTTTGTTTTCAGTATTTTATATGAATATTTTGAGCATTTCATCTAGTCTGCACAACACTTTTTAAAATCGCATGACCATGTAACGAGTAATATATGAATGTTTCCGAATCTCACTTTTCCCAACATTTAGAGTTCAGATCAACCCAGTAATTTTTTCTCTAGGAATTATTAGTGGATATTTTCCTTTTAGAGTGAAACACTGAAATATTGTATAATGTTAACGTGGTAACGGAATTCTAAAAGTATTTCACTCAAATGTCACGGTGGCTAGACTGAATTTTGCGGACACCATCCCTGGTAACGACTCGTAATCAACTCTGGAGGGAAGCCTCTGCATAATCCCTTATTTTACGGTCCAATTTTTTACTATTACTCATGAGGTAATGTCTGACAACTTTGTATCATTAGGGCAGAGCTTCGTCATTCTATCAATTTGGATCGAAATTTAATAAGGAGAAACACCCGCAAATGCAACTAGTTGTTTCCAAATGGGAACTTAGCAGACAGCGGAGAATGTGTCCTATCAAAGGGAATGCCTTGATGCTTTTATATGAATGAACCTGTAGTTGTAGGCTTTCAGTTCTTCTTTCATGCTTTTAGGATAGTCGGCAAACGGGCATGGTGTCTGACGTCAGCTCGATCTGCACGTATTTTCGATGAGCAAAAAATGCCTTAATATGCTTTCATAGACCGTTTTTATCTTCCCTATGCCCTCGTCAGTAGTTATTTTTATTAAACTTAATGTTTCCCTTCGGAAGAAGCGTTATTTAGCTACTACCCGGTACCAGAACTGGTCACTTGCAAAGTGGAATCACGCGCAGTCCCTAGATGGCACCCTACAGTTTTTCAAACGAATCGACTGACACTCCCATAGAGGCCAGCCAATCAGAGAGAGCTTAACAACCAAATGCCGCGTCTCCATAGGCCACGAGGCTTTAAAATCAAGGCAAGGCTTTCTAATAAAAGGCTCCCCCTGAATGTCCCTGTTATTCCATCAGAGACTACATATCATGGCCTTAACAGGTTCCCTTTGTTTTTTACTTAGTCTAGCCATAGTCGGTAAGTCAACCTCCTTCCCATGTCCAATACTCAATCCGCTTTTAAATAATTCCATCTGACCTGAATATAATAGGAATTTTTTATTGTTGCTAGCGCTCAGTCAAGCCACAGAGCTAACTATAGGCCGGCAACCTGGGACACAGCTCAAAAATGACTCTGCAACTATTCCGTTCGTTGCACAGGTATGGTTCTCTACGAGAAAAATGAATTGCAAAATTTGAGTGCATATGGATTTCTGGATTTTATGGATTTTCCGCACCTTATGACAAAATAAACGTGGCTGTCAGTGACTTTGAGCGTGCCCCGTGATTAAATCAATTTGTACATTTATCATCGCGCAGGCTGTAGTTGGACAATGCGATGACACTAACAGAGTATGCGGTCGGATTGGCGGTAAGTTACCTTATATACCACAACTATTAACGACACATTTTCTGCTGAATTCATTCACACGTCTTTTACTAGGACACAAGGAGACATTCACTATTCGCGCTGGAACACAAATACAACAAGATACACAATTAATTAGTGTTATGGACGATAAGGGTTCAGGCGCAATGATAGTTGTAAACGGTAAGCGACCTTTTTGCTTTAACGCAAATTTACATTCGTTGCTTTACCTTTAAAGATCATACATTGAATGGTGGAGAGAAACCACTGGGTCAGTTGACTGTGAAGAATGGTGCAGTGCAGAAGGATGGAGTGTTTACGGCGCCATTCCTCATTAATGTAAGTCCATCCGCTACTTAATAAAACGACTTTCCTCATTCGCTGAAAATAATGTTCTCACTCTATTTCCTTTACAGGAAATCCATCCAAACATCACGTACGAAACTGATAAAAGTAAGTAAAGTTCAATGCCACATTGAAGAAACAGTTTCTACACTCTTTTAAGTTGTAAACCTGTCTTTCCACTTGAAGAACATTAGTAGCCCTCAAACAGTGGACCCAACGCTTAATTACCTTTGATGTACTCCACACTTTTTAGAAGGAACAGTCATTTTGCTAAATGGGCCAATGGGAAATGAGCCAGTCGACATCCAATTCGCAGCAAATCAAGATGGAACCGGAGACAAGTTTACGCTGAAAGTTTACCCTGGCACCGCAGCTGTAAAACAATTCTGCCTTGCTCCCCTCATCGTAGTGTCAGCAATGCTGCTCACTTAAATGTCACTTTGCGGAAATAAAGTCATCCGTCTGGAGAATTCTTATTTGTGTGAAAATACTGTCTCATCTTTGAAATGTCAATATCCGAGATGTCTCGAGATGGTCAAAGGAATTCATTCAAATCTGAAAATCAGGCAAAGCAGAGGAAAAATTGCGCGAATTGGGGAATTTCGAATTATGATTCCGAACTCCATTCTTCTCTAGACATGAAATGGGTCGTAAAAAGATGACGCTATAATTTATTTGCCCCGTAATCAACGCAGTCAAGAGCTGAGGGAATGGCCTATTCAAATATAGGGACCAGATGAAAAAGTAAATGTGCTGACATCAAAAGGTGACGGCGGTTGGACACCAATGAAAGCAAATCGCATAAATGTTTCTGCACTGCATAGACCGCGAACCGCAAATCCTCCAGAGGATTAAATCATCCGAGAATCCATCGATTCCCAACAGAAGGCGAAATTGCCTCTTAAATTATACATTTCCTTCATATTTACCAAAAGTAAACATTTCAGAGAACAGGAGTATTGTACATGACTTAGTCAACAATGAGGATAGCGCGGCACAATAAATAGCAATGTACCGGAAGAGGGTATAGTGAGAAACAATAACCAATATAGGCCGTCAGCATTTGCCTGATTGAGAGTTTGTGCTAGTACATGGGTAATTCTGCCAAATAGAGCACAGACGGAAAGGCCGACGGTGCACTGATCTATGCAAATTGTAAGCACAAGATAAGGCTTCTGTTTATAGTTTATTTCGGCCATGTAAATACGCCTGCAACGATCTGAAAGTGGTGGCAGTTGGCAAGAATGAGAATTATTGCAAGCCACAGCAATGAGCATAACAACTGTCGAGACGTACAGGGGGATTTCTGGGTCACTTCCGATCCAATGATAAGTTAAAATTATTTACTCTCTGACGATTTTGATACGGTTATCATCATTTACCATCTAATTTTACAGTTGGCGTTCCATTGTGCCTGTGCTCCTAAGTCGTTGTAGCGTAGAACCAAAATCCTCGTGCATTTTCATACTAAAAATTGACAATAATGCCTAACAAACTGTCGATATGATAGACCACCTAGCCATTTTGCGTTAGCAAAATGTTGTCAAGAAGTATGAACATTTATTTACGATTATCCACTCCATATTATACTCATTGGCAGAAAGAGACCGAAATAATATTAAATAGTCCTTAATTCAACAAAAATGGTCGCAACTCAGTATTTTTCATAAGCCCAGACAAAACAACAGTGCAGAGACGTAAACTACAGAAAAAAGACACTCAATGTAAAAAGGGTGATTAGTGTATTGGTCCCTCATTTGAAACTCTACTGAGTGCCTCTATATCTGGCATTCATAATAAACAGCGCAAAACTGCGAAAGCCGTTAAGGTAGATGACCGAAAACCAACAAAGCAACCCGGAAATAATCACGCCGCTGTATAAGGTGATGGCACAATTTCAACAACAACGATCCAAAACGGTCAACTAGTAGAACAAAGTGCTCATCAATCAAAACACGGAATTTCTAGAACGCGTATGTCAAGCCCTACAAACCCGCAGAAAAATCATCTACTTCTGTCAAAGAAACATCATTTACAACAGCATGACAATCGAGAAGCCGAAAATATAGAGACCAAAATACTGCGTATTCCAAAACCTCATCAGAAATGATACCGAAACGAGTAAATGTTAGAAATAACACGTTAGCTTCCCAAACTCCATCCATTAAACAGATATAACCAAAAGCGCCTTATTCTTCCAACCATAAAAGCACAAAATGACAAAATAATCAACTACATAGGCCAGCAAACGTTCCCAAATGGTCTGATATATATATATAGAGCAGCGAGGAGGGACGACAGAGAATGCGGGTAGA